GATAAAGAGAATAAGCAGACATTAAATAAATATGTTAGCTAGTGGATTGATAAGTTTCGACAAGTTGTCGACGGTGTTGAAAACTTAATGGAACAAGTGATGATTTTTTCCTTAAAATAAAGGACAAGTTGGAAGACACTATTGAAACATTAAAGGATTTGCAAGAGAAAATTGGTGACCTTAGATTAAAGGAGCAATTTGGTTTGACGAAGCAAGAAACTAGAACACCTACAACTTCTTTTGTTGATGATTGTGATATCTTTGGTAGGCACAAGGAAATAGAGGATTTGATTAAGCGTTTATTGTCTGAAGATGCAAATGGAAAAAAATCTGACTGTAGTTCCTATTGTTGGAATGGGCGGCATGGGTAAGATAACACTTGCTAAAGCTGTTTACAATGATGAGAAGGTGAAAGACCATTTTGATTTGAAAGCTTGATTTTTTTTCCTGAGGCATATGATGCTTTGAAAATGTAAAAAGGGTTACTTCAAGAAATTGGCTTAAATGTTGATGACAACCTTAATCAACTACAAGTCAATTTGAAGGAAATCATAAGGAAAAAAGGTTTTTGTTGTCCTTGATGATGTGCGGAATGATAACTATAATGAGTGGGATGACTTGAGAAATACTTTTGTACAAAGAGATTTCGGAAGTAAGATCATTGTAACTACATATAAGGAGAATGTTTCCTTGATTATGGGTGGAGGAGCAATCAACATGGGAACTCTATCTAGTGAAGTCTCTTGGGCTTTATTCAAACGACATTCACTAGAAAACAGGGATCATGAGTAATATACAAAATTTGAAGAGATTGGAAGAAAAATTGCTGACAAGTGCAAAGGATTGCTTTTAGCTCTAAAGGCACTTGCTGATATTTTCCGCTGCAAATTAGAGGTTCATGATTAGAGAGACATTTTAAGAAGAAAATTTTTGGGAGATTCCAAATTGTTTGATTGGTATATTACCAGTGTTGATGTTGAGTTACAATGATCTTCCTGTACATTTGAAGCATTTTTCTGTTTATTGTTCAATATATCCCAAAGATTATCGATTCTACAAAGACAAAGTTATTCACTTGTGGATTGCTAATGGTATTGTACAAAAAATTCATTCAGGTAATCAATCCTTTCATGAGTTGATATCAAAATCACTATTCGATATGGTTCCAACGTCTTGTGAAGGAGACGTAGAGAAATTCTTAATGCATGACCTTGTGAGTGATTTGACCCAATTGCATCTTCAAAACTTTGTATTAGGTTATAAGAGAATGAAGGATCTAATATGTTGGAACAAAGTCGACATATTTCCTATTCCATGGGAACATATGATGAATTTGAGAAATTGAAACTACTCTCCGAATCGGAGCAACTGAGGACATTGCTTCCAGTCAATACTTTTTACTCATTTCATCTAAGCAAGAGGATGCTGCATCACAATTGACAAGACTAACATCCTTAAGGGCATTATCATTGTCAGTTACACATTTGTGGAGTTGCTGGATAAAAATTAGAGTTTCCTGAGATTTTTGGACCTTTCCTCAACAAAGATTAAAAAGTTGCCAGATTCTATTTGTGTACTGTATATTTTGGAGACACTTCTCTTGTCACGTTGTTGTAATCTTAAGGAGATACCATTGCAGATAGACAAGTTGATTAACTTGCATCATCTTTACATAAGCTACAGTTCTTGCTTGAATATTCCTCTACCTGTGAGCAAGTTGAAAAGTCTCCATGTGCTAGTGGGAGCCAAGTTTCTTCTAGGCGGTCCTTGTGGATTCAGCATGGAAGATTTTTGTGAACTGCATAACTTGTATGGATCTCTATCAATTCTAGAGTTGCAAAATGTGGTTGATAGAAGGGAAGCTGTGAATGCAAAGATGAGGGAGAAGAATCATGTTGAGAAGTTATCTTTGGAGTGGAGTAGAAGAAGTATTGCTGAAAATTCACAAACCGAAAGAGACATAGTTGATGAGGTACGGCCACGGTACGGCCACACACAAACATAAAAGCAGTCGAAATCACCAAATATAGGGTGACAAAATTTCCAAATGGTTAGCTGATCCTTTGTTTCTTAAGATGGTGGAATTATATCTTAGGCACTACAAGGACTGTAATTCCTCGCCCTCACTAGGACAACTCCCTTGTCTGAAATTTCTTTCCATTAGAGGTATGCATGGAATAACAGAGGTGACAGAAGAATTCTATTGCAGTTCCGCCTCCAAAAGGCCTTTTAACTCTCTTGAGAAGCTTGTATTTGAAGATATGCCCAAAGTGGAAACAATGGCACATATAGGAAATAGAGAGTTCCCTACACGTTGAAGCTTTCAATTCAAAATTGCCCGAAGTTGATGGGGAAGTTACCTGAAAATCTTACTTCTCTAGCAGAATTGATAATTTCAAGATGTCATGCACTTGACTTGGATATGTCCCAGCTTGAGGGAATGAAAAAGATTGTTGAATTACATATTAGTAATTGTAACTCTCTTACCTCCTTATATTTTAGCATTCTGCCGAGTACCTTGAAGACAATACGGATATCTCATTGCCAATAATTGATATTGAAGGAGCCACTTGGTGAGATGAGTTATTGTAATATGTTTCTGGAGGAATTGAGTCTGAGAGAATGTGATGATATATCACCTGAGTTTGTCCCAGGAGCACACAAATTGAAAGTTTCCTGTTGCTCCAATCTTACTAGGTTTATGATTCCTACTGCCACTGAAATAGTCAATTTGACGAGTTGTCGGAATCTTGAAAAACTTTTGGTACCATGTGGAGGGATCCATATAACATATTTGAATGTTTGGGATTGTTTAAAGCTGAAGTGGCTGCCAGAGCGTATGCAGGAACTCCTTCCATCTCTTAAGATAATACAAATGTGGGATTGTGGAGAAACAAAGTCCATTCTTGAAAGAGGATTGCCCTTCAATTTACAACAACTTGTAATCAGTCATTGCATGGAACTGGTGAATGGATGAAAAGAGTGGCTTTTACCGAGACTCATAGAGTTAAATATCCAAAATTATGACAGTGACCAAGAGATGGAACATTGACATTTGGAGTTACCTTTCTCTATTACAAGACTTAGCATACACAATTTGAAAACATTAAGGAGCCAAGATCGCAAAAGTCTCACCTCTCTTCAATATGTACATACTGCTCTTTTACCTCAAATTCAGTCAATGTTGGAAGAAGGGTGGATTCACTCTTCTGTTTCTGAGCTAAATTTATGTTACCATGATGAGCTCCATTCACTACATCTTTGGCACCTCACTTTACTTCAACGTCTAGACATCTGGAAGTTCCCTAATCTCCAATCACTTTCCGAATCAGCACTGCCTTCCTCTCTCTCTGAGCTGACCATCTATGCATACCCTAAGCTCCAATTACTTTCGGAATCAGCACATCACTCTTTCCTTTTCAAATTAACTATTTACTACTGCCCATCGCTCACATCACTACTAGAATTTGACAAGGGGGAATACTGGCCAAATATTGCTCAAATTCCAAACATAGTGATCGATTATAAATACTTGTGAAGATTACAACAAATGGTACTCTAAACTTTTATATTTTTGTTTACTTCACATTGTTTTTTTCCTAATTCTTTTTTTCTTATATCTTGTCGAGCAGTGTGGAGCATCTATTGCTCAAAGAATGTCTACTCACAGAAAATTGCTCATATTTCCACCATAAATGTTGATTGGGAGAACCAATAATGATTAAAATAAGTGGTGCTTCGACAGATGTAAGTTATTATATTTCTTTAGTTCATTTGATTATTGGTTAGTTCTTTTTCAGTTAAATCTTTTTGACTAGTGTGATCCTCTATTGCTTCTATGAAATCAATAAAATATATGTAGATTTTTAAAAGAAATCTTATTATCTTAATATATGTAAACATCAAAACAATTCATTTATTCTTGTGAAAATTCTCAGTTGTTGTCTTAGTTGACTATTAAGACTCACTTTTCTTGTCTATTAACCTATCTTCTCGCTCAAATCTTGTAGACTGAAATATTTTTTATCATCATGAAAGTTCTGTTCATAGAAGTCGATGGAGAATACATTCAATGATTAAAACAAATGGTGCTCTCACGGATGTATTTTGGTAACATTATATGTAAGCTTGTTACCGCTCTAGCTCAATTTGTACAAGGAAAGTTCTGATGCAATTCTATATTGACTATATTGTTTCTTGAATGTGGTCTAAAAGCAAAGTGTAAGTGAATAAAAATAGTTTCACAGTTTTGTCGCTAACCATAAATGTTTAATTAGTTTATGCTTTGAACTATTTATACAGAAATCTGTCTAATCATTGGAATGATGTATATCTTTAATTCGATATTACTGACATTTAGTATTATTTTCAGAATATAAAGTAATTCCTTGATATTCGTTTGGGTTGTGTGTTGCAAGTGGTTATATGTAAAATTCATGAATGTTGCAGCCAATGAGTTCACCAACAAGTAAATACTCAATTTTGATCCACATCTGAAAAAAGGATTGATAAATAAACTTCCCGGACTCGTAGCTCCGGTATTTACAAAAAACCACTTTTAGCAAACATTCAAAAGTCCTAATTTTTCAATCAACTTTGTAAACTGATCAAATATGACTTGAGGCAACTACTAAGTGGGGTAAAACGGTAATTTTCAAAAAATGACCTTTAGGGTCGCTTATAATCTAATGGGGTCAAAGTTTACAAAAGTTTTTTGATTGACATGAAATTAACTCCTAAAATTTCAGCATCTTAAGGGTGTGCTTGGTTTGAAGAAATTTTTTTTTGAATATTCTCATGTATATTTGAGTAAAAAATTTTCCAACTCAACTCATTTTCCACAAATTTAAGGAAAATGACTTCCCTTCAAAAATTAAGGAAAATATTTTCCTTCCATCCAAACACACCCTTAGTTATGCTGACATTTCATAAAAGGTGTGACAAATTAAATTGTTTTTGTGTACAATGGCTGTAAGTAGACAATAAATTCCTAATTCTGTTTAGTGCATCAAAGAATATATATCATGGAACTCAGAATATAACTTTCTACCAGAAGCAAACTCATGATCTTCACCAGTAATTTCTAGTGGACTGCATCCCGGTTCTTTCGCTATATGTTTCTCTTCCATTGATATCCTTCCATCCAAAGCTTCTTCAAACAAGCCTGAGGTTGCATATATATTTTCCATCAATACATAGCCACTGTTTTCATTTGGATCCAACTGAAGCAAATTCTCAGGTGATCATCTGGCCAATTCCATGTTCTTGTGGCTCCTACAAGCCGATAACAAAGAACCCCATATGACAACATCAAGTTCCATTTTCATACTTTTTATAACTTCTTTTGCTACTTCAACTAGTCCTGTTCGACCAAGAATATTGACAATACAACCACATTGCTTGATTGATGGTTCAATACCATATTCCATTTTCATTAATTGAAAAGTAGTATTTCGCTTTATCTACCAATCCTGAGTGATTGCACGCGGTTAGTACATTGATGAAAGTCACAGAATCCGGTTTCAGAATTGAGCATTGTAGACTTGCGAATATCTTAATTGCATCATCCTCTAATCCATTAGTATCTAAGCCCAAAATCATAGAGTTCCAAGAAGACAACCCTTCATTTGAGAGACTTACAAAAACATGCGACGCCATGTCAAAGTTTCCACAATTGCAATACATGTCTATAATTGCAGTAACAATAATAACATTCAACTCCACATTGTTCTTCTTAACATACATGTAAATCCAATTCCCTTTATCAAGTGCTCCTAAGTGTCCACAAGCATTCAACAAGCTCACCAAAGTGAATTCACTAGGCTTAGTATTTTCCTCTTTCATTGTGCTAAATAGTCCCATGCTTCATTCCACTTCCAATTTCTAACAAACAACTTATTATACTATTCCAAGAAACATCATTTCAAGTTGGTATTTTAGCAAACACCCTCCAACAATCATCTATTTCTCCCAATTTATCTAGTCCCATGATCATGGAATTCCAAGAAACAACATCCTCAATCTCGTCCTCATCAAATTATTTCCTTGCTTCAACCAAAATACCACAACTTACATACATATACAACAGAGTATTTCATATGAATGTGTCAAATTATAGGCCTAGTTTGATGATTCTACCATGAATTTGAGCTCCATTTATCACAAGACTACCTCGAGCATATGCCTTAAAGACCGAATGTTAATTAAGCATGTGTGGTTGCACTTGTGAATTGTTCAACATTTCAATGAAAATATGAATTACATATTTTAGAGTCGAACTCTCTAAGAAACCTCTAATGATAGTATTCCAATTGCAAAGAGTTGGATTTTCTATGTGAGTGAAAACCAAGTTTGCATAATTGATGTCACCATTAGGGGGAGACTTGGCTGAAAATGCAAGGACGTGGCTAGATGCTATTTTGTTCTTGATTAGACCACTTTTTATGAAATGAGAATGAATCCTTTTGAGGTCTGTCATAGTGGTACATTTGGTTTCTAAAATATGATGAACTTTGAAATGGAAGTTGATGAGCAAACACTTGATGACATCTATGTTTTTACTATCTAAGGAAGTGGAAAATTTATCAAGAAAGTGTAGAAAGAGAGAAATTTGTTATGCAAGAGAAGAGATAAGGTATATAGGGCCTATTTGTTCTCAACTCAATTACTTCATTAGTATCTCATGCCCCATACCAGCAATATATATGCATGTATATATAAATATATATATAGGCTCGCCTATGTGGCGCAACCACAAGCAAGAATTTCCTTCTAAATTTATTTATTTCCAAAACTAGCCTTCCTCTTTCATGAAAAGATGTGACTTTTATGAAAAGTTGCGACTGGAATGAAGAGTTGTGATTCTTATCAAAAGTTGTGACTTTTATGAAAAGTTATGAATTTAATAAAAAGTTGCAACTTCTTTCAAAAAGTTGTGACTTTTATTAAAAGTTGCAACTTTAATGAAAAGTTGTGACTTTCATGAAGAGTTGTGAGTTTATGGAAAGTTGTAACTTTTATCAAAAGTTGTGAACTTTTCAAAGGGTTATAACTTCTCCAAATAGTTGTAACCTTTCTGAAACGGCACAATAAGGATTTATTCACACTACCCTTTGATGTCCATAAATAGAGGGGTTTCCTCTTCTTTTAAAACCAACAAAAATTTTGATCTACTTCTTCTACTTCCAAAAAAGTAATTTTTCGTTTGCTTTACTCATGTTGAATAACTTACTGCTTTCGTATTGGAGGGAAATGAATTGCTTCAGGGGGATATTGTGCATTCACAGGACTCGATTCTTTCCTTTCTATTTTATTTTATTTTAACGTTTCCTGGTTATTTTTTTTATAGTCATTAATTTATGCATATGATATTAATTGTTGTTTTTGAGTACATGCTTTAAACTCTGTTGTTTATGTTTCTGCCAAGTTTTTGTCTCCGCTTATATTGAACATATACACATATAAAATGTATATTCATTGTACATAAAACAATTATTGTACTCAGTTCCAAGAATTCATGTTTTGATGTTCTATATGAAATTCTATAACTTAAAAGTATTATATAAAAGCTTACAAATAATCTGTTTTTACAAAGATATGAAATTTCTCACTTATCAATTGAAGAAATTTGTTATGCAATTTCAAAAGTTATAAATTCCTTCATTCTCAAGTATATATTTTTTTTAATATGTTAGCAAATTTTTAAATTTTCTCCTAAGACATATATCATAGTTGTATAATCTATGCAACTAAAATGTTTCCATTTATTAGGTAACACCTTTGTATATATTCTTATTTTCCTTTAAATGTTGATTAAAGAACCAATGATTTAATATTTTGTGAATAATTATTCATTAGAGGGGATTAAAGAACCAATGATTAATTTTTTGTGAATAATTTATTCATTAGAGGGGTTCTTCGGTTCTGTGATAATGAAAAATAATAAAATTCATGTAGGGAATATTGTTAATATTTTTTGAAGAACCTATTTTCCCATTATTTTTAATGCATCGATATAAGTCAAAAATTATTTGTAAGTTCAATGCAATTATTATTTATGACCGCACGAAGAGCGAAAAAGTACCTAGTACATATATATTGAGTTT